ATCTTATCTTCTGCTATTCATTTTAAGAGTTTGAGTTATTATTAATATGAAGGCCTGCTTTCTGGGAGCTCTTCTCTTTGAATGGGTTTATGCCAAGCTGCCAGCTACCAGGGGACTCGGGGCCTAGGATTACACTGACAGGGAGCCTCAGAGATGAGAGGGCTGAGCAGAGACGTGGGAAATGATGGTGTATTCAAGGAGGATCAGCATCTTGTGTCTGGCCCTTGATGCCCTTTGGGCTCCTTATTTCAAAGGAGCAGCAAGAAAAGTAGGAGAAGGGATGGACCTGAATCCTGTCAAAGTCAGAGAACCTTGATTTTCAAGAGACTGCTCAAGCTTCAGAGACTCCTCAAATCTGACAAAATAATCAACTGATGAATTTGCCTGCTCCCTGCAGCATGAGCTCCAACCGATCAGGAGAATGCAGTGACGGCAGAGGACTTACCATATCTTGCCCTCACCCAGGCGGAATCGCAGATTCTTCACCACGGAGAGGGCTGGTGAACATTTTTGGAGAAAGGGCTCAAGAGAATCTTATGACACTGCAGATATCACTTGAGAAGTGAGGTACTGAGTGACAGGGCAATGTCCTAGATGCCACATCAGATGTTTTACATTCATTCCATAGGCCACAAGCTCATCCATCCCTAAAGTCGAGGAAAGGCCCTGATGTAGCATAAGCAAAGTCATTGATTGGACCTGACGGAAAGGATCATTTTCTTTCACTCCATGCTGTCATCTATAATTGTGAATGACCATGAACTGTTAAGACATGACATAGGGAAAGATGGCAAGTGGGATGTGGGGGCAAACCCAAGTTCTGTCCACTGAAGAAATGCCACTGAGCTTTCTGCAAGGCATGGGGACTATCACCAAGCATCAGAGTGCTCCTCAGCCATCCAGGGCCATGTTGGGGTGACAGCATGAGTCCCTGAGCTCCCTCGGCCACATCTTGACTGTGCTGTGTTTGATGACTTTCGTGTGGACTGAACTGTGTTCAACTTGTCTCTTAGCATCAAACTTTTTGTGTGTGTGTGGTACAGAGGCCCAGGCTCTACACTGAGTTACACCCTCAGCTCAATTCAAACTTATTAAACAGCGCTTTCTCTAATCTGCTTTCAACTATCAGCACCCTAGACAGGAGGCTGGCTAATTTCTTTTTCCTGTTAGTCACCAAAAAAAGCCAGGAGCTTTGATAAGGTTCTCGATGTAGAAGATGACATAGATCTGAGCAAAGCTGCCAAGGGGGAAATGGATGGATAACAGGGGTACTGCTCAACCCCGGGGGGGCATTTCCCGAAACCTGCCCGTGGGGTTATAGCTGCACAGACAAGGCATAGAGAGAATCTGTTGACCACCAGCACTAATATTGTTGGTTGCTTTCAATCTCTGTCAGCCCAGTCAGCCTCTCAGGTAGATTTTTAAAAAAAGAAAAAGACAAGGGAAGGACCCATGACCACCATCTTGTGACTGTGACCAATTGCCTACTGAAGTTCTTAATGTCTTGAGCCTCAGCAGGAAACCACGGAATCTATAAAGTTCTGTCCAGCAGAAATGAGTCTGATTGTGGATGGCCTGGTTAACCCAGATTGCCTTTGGTGCCTGAGGGAGTTGACATGTTCTCATTATGAAGACTTTCCCAGCTAAAACTGCTCAGAATCGGTTTGAACTGCCTGTTTCCGTGGTAGCAGGCCTCTGTCTGGAGGATAAATCTGCACCATCTTCTTTTGTTTGGGCTTCAGCCAGTTGTGCTACAAAGAGTTCTGAAGTGAGCTCTAAGTGGGGCTCTGCCAGTCTGACAGGGAAGCTTTGTCACCCATGGGATGCACACCCTTGGGGCAGACGGCAGTGTCTAAGAGAAAGCAATCAAAGAGATACAGAACCCACACACCTAAATATTTATTTCATATTTCCCACACTTTTCAAATGTGAACTTGTGTCCTGAAGGTGGAGCTTTAGTACACAAGAAAATTGGGAAGGGGCAAACGCGTTTGTACAAAATGGGGTAGAATCAGCAAAGAATGCATTTCCATGCTTCCTACTTGCCTATATTTTTCATGCCAAAAAGTAAGGACAGATTCTGATTTCTTTCACCGTAGGAGTCTGCATACAATTAAATGAGAGCAAAAAGAAGCCTGCTCTCGAGAGCAAGGCTTATGGTCTCAGTAAGAATGAGGAGAAACCGTAGCCATCAAAGTCATTTATACTTCTTGCTGGTAGTATTTTTAAGATGTTGTTTCTTTTTCAAAACGAGGCAGCAATGAATGGAGTAGTGATCAAAATACCGCACCATAGAGTATGTTTAATCCAATCAGCTCCCAAGAGGGTCTGTGACTGATTGCACCAACTCTATGGGACTTACAGAAATGACTCAGTTACCAGTGAAGTAAAACTAGCTCTGGAATGGAACTGACTGTGGCTCCTCAACACATATCAGCACAGCCACAGCCTGCTAGGAAGCCAGTATAGACCATTGTTCACTTCCTTATTCTCAGAGAAAACTGCCAACCGGCCAGCCCATAAATTTCCTACTACATGCTGTAGGGGTCTGTGAGTTTCAGCAAGGGATTTTTGTTGTTGTTTTGTTTGGGGGTTTTCGTTTGTTTTGTTTTTTAGATACTTCTCTGTTTTCAGCAGTGCAAAACTTCTTAAGCCCTTCCAGGCTTATGGGAAATGAGTCCTGATTTTTTCGGATCAAGTAAACCATTTGATTTGCACTGCCCCAGCTCTCCTGATTAACACCTACCTGGGGCCCGGCCTTTCTTCCTCCACCCTCCCCCTCGCCCACACTTCCACCACTGTCACCACAGCAGAAAGGGCAACCTTATATCTCGGGAAAGCATTTGCAGCCTACTGGCAGGCAAAGATAATGCTATTCAGTTTCAAAGCAGGAGCTTATGAAGGGAAAGATGACCACTCTGAATTCGGCATCTGAGAGCCTGCTGAAATGATATTATCTTTTTTTTTTTTTTCATGCTTGGGATGAACCCCGGGCTTCCTGCATCCCAGGCAAGCTCTCTCCCACTGAGCCATTCCCCAGCCCTGATAGGATCCTAGAACTGCACATCTGGGGCAGAAACCCTGCCTCACTGTCCTTGCTCTGTCTCCCAGGGCCCCTGCCTCGTCCTCAGCACTGGGGAAAAGCGCAAACCTCCTAGGGTGCCTCCTTCCAGGGGGGACTCAGCCTCTGTGAAGCCCACCCACTCCATTCCCTCCCAGCAGATTCCACCCAGAGCTGGGGACCTGGAGGGAAGGAGGAAAGGGGACAGTGACCAGTGGCCCTTCCGGGAGCCTCTGGCCTGGAACAGGGCTCATTCCCCAAGGGCCTCTAGGGGTTCTCAGTCTGGAGATAGCTGGGCCTCTTCTGAGAAGCCCCTCTGAGAAACCAGGAGCTGGCTCCCGGTGTGCAAGGGTTTGCTGTTCCGGAAAGTCTTGGTGGCATGGGGGTAAGTAACCCTGCTGACAGTGGCTCCCTGGATGGGGTGGGGAGACCTCAGGGGATCCAGAGGAAGGAAATGGGAAATGACAGGACTGTCTGTAGAGACAGAATACTTGAGCCTGGGATGAGAAGGCTGGCTGAGGAGGGTGGGGTTGGTGCATTTAACTTGGGAAACTTCTGGTCCCACCGCAAAGAATGATCTCAGGGAATTGTTGTAATGGCCACAGGTGGCACTTGACTAGCGGGACATGCATATGAGGCCCTGGAGCGAGATATAGATTTGAATCTCGGCTCTCTGCTGCCTCGCAGTAGGACCCTGGCAAGTTCCTTAGCCTCTCCATGATCATTGTTCTCTGAGACTGCTAAGTAGGGATGATAACATTCGCTAATTAATACGGTTGTTAGAAGTATTAAATGAATCTTAATCCATATGCTGCATTTAGAACAGAGCCCAGCACGTAGTAAGTGCTCAATAAACCTTAGGCGTGATCTTTAGGATTAGACAGTGAGCAGAACTTTCTAAAGGCTCCGTTTGAGAGCCTGGGACCCCGTTGCCAAGGGAGATGAGAAAACCTTTTCAAATACGGGAGCTCAGGCCAGGCCTTAGGATTGTCCAGAACTAGAGCGTGGCGCCTGCCTTTCCCCCACATCACTCCTCTGACCCGGGGACTCCCCTCCCCCGTCACCGGGGCGCACTGGTCCCCCCGAGCCGCGCGCCTCCCGGGGCCTCCCTCCCGCCGCTCCACACCTGTCAGCCGCCCTGGCAACCTCGCCGTGGCCCGAGCCCTGGGCCTTGGCTTCAACCTCTTCGACCCTGGCTCCCTGCTCCGGGCGCCTGCACACCCCCCCCCCCCCGCAGCTGCTTTCGTAAACAAAACCCGGGCGTTGGAGCAGCCCCACGGGCGGACCAGCGCGGGAGCCCTCTCGGTGCGCTGTGGCGCGCCCGGGAGCCCAGGGCGAGCCAAGGGGCGAGGGTGGCGCCGCGGCGACAGCGGCAGGCGGCTCAGCTTTGTTATGAATAGATGAAAGCGGCCACCTACACAGTAACCCAAATTACGAGACCTCCTCCCCCCCATCTCACCGAATGGAGAGGGGAGGGGAGATGGGCGTGGAGGGAGGGAGGGCGGGCGGCCGCACAGGAGGCGGAGGGCGGAGGAGGAAGAGGATGAGGAAGGGGGCCAGTTGCATCCCACTTCGACAATGGGAAAGTGAAACGCACAAGCGCACCCAACCTCTCCAGCCCTCCCCGCCCGCCGCGCTCCCCTCCGCCGTCCCCTCCCTTCCCCTCCGCGCCTCCCCGCGAGCGCCCGCGCCGCACAGAGAACTCTCGGCGAAGCAGGGCGAGGAGGAAGCGCCGCCGGAACGCGCAGGGCTCGCAGCAGCCGCCGCCGCGCGCCCCGCGCCCCGCTCTCCTTCCCGGGCGAGCCTCGGGGATGGGGCAGCCGCGGGAGCCCGAGCGCGCGCAGGAGCCCCCGCCGCCGCCGCCGCCCGCGTCTCCGTAGCCGCGCGCCAGAGCCGCCGCTGCCGCCGCGCGCCCTGCCCGGGGGCGGCCCCCCCAACCCCATGGAGGTCTCCCGGAGGAAGGCGCCGCCGCGCCCCCCGCGCCCCGCCGCTCCGCTGCCCCTGCTCGCCTATCTTCTGGCGCTCGCGGCGCCCTCCCGGGGCGCGGACGAGCCGGTGTGGCGCGCGGAGCAAGCCATCGGAGCCATCGCGGCCAGCCTGAGGGACGGCGTGTTCGTGGCGAGCGGCAGCTGCCTGGACCAGCTGGACTACAGCCTGGAGAACAGGCTCTCGCGCCTGTACCGGGACCAGGCGGGCAACTGCACCGAGCCGGTCTCCCTGGCGCCCCCCGCGCGGCCCCGGCCCGGGAGTAGCTTCAGCAAGCTGCTGCTGCCCTACCGCGAGGGGGCAGAAGAGCTCGGGGGGCTGCTGCTCACCGGCTGGACCTTCGACCGGGGCGCCTGCGAGGTGCGGCCCCTGGGCAACCTGAGCCTCAGCTCCCTGCTCAACAGCACCGAGGTGGTGTCGTGCCACCCGCAGGGCTCGACGGCCGGCGTGGTGTACCGCGCGGGGCCCAAGAACAGCTGGTACCTGGCGGTGGCCGCTACCTACGTGCTGCCGGAGCCGGAGACCGCGAGCCGCTGCAGCCCCGCGGCTTCCGATCGAGACACGGCCATCACGCTCAAGAACACGGAGCGCAGCCTGGCCACGGAGGAGCTGGGCCGCCTCAAGCTGCGAGGGAGCTCGGGCAGCCTGCACTTCGTGGACGCCTTTCTCTGGAACGGCAGCGTCTACTTCCCCTACTACCCCTACAACTACACTAGCGGCGCCACCACTGGCTGGCCCAGCATGGTGCGCATCGCGCAGAGCGCTGATGCCCTGTTTCAGGGTCAGGCGGCCCTCGACTGCAGCCATGGACATCCCGACGGCCGCCCCCTGCTGCTCTCCTCCAGCCTGGTGGAAGCCCTGGACATTTGGGCGGGCGTGTTCAGCGCTCCCACCGGAGAGGGCCAGGAGAGGCGCACCCGCGCCACTACCGCGCTGTGCCTCTTCAGGATGAGTGAGATCCAGGCGCGCGCCAAGAGCTGCAGCTGGGACTTCGAGACCCAGCAGAACTGCGTAAGTCCTGCCCTCGGGTCCCCACGGGAGCGCTGCTGTCTCGAGCCCAGCCGCCGCCTAGGCAGAGCGAACGAGAGGGTAGGGAAACATCCCGGTGACGTTTACCGGGTCGCCAGTTCACCTCGCCACCGTCCTTCTGAGACCTCAGTCTAATGTAAAGCTCGCCCTGAGGCCCCCAAAGGAAGAGTGCAAAAAGAGGGGCGGGGAGGGTTGGAGTTAGGCACCAAACTCTAGTGACTGCCTCCCAGCGCCATCCGCCTCGGACCAAATGTGGGCGCCTTTGGGGGCTGAGCGGACCCACGCAGCTCCCCTCTCCCTCTTCGCTTCTCCACACTCCTCAGAGTAGTGTCAGTGGGGTTGTGGACTTGAGCCTCTCCGTCAGCAGTTACCAAACACAGTACCCTCTGCAGAGAAGGCGCTGAGCCTAGAGGGCTCCTGCCACACCCCAACCTTTGTGCCGCCCCCCCCCGCCCCTGCCCGCAGCGCGTGTGTCCGTCTGAAGAGTGGCGAGCCCGCTCCACGCCCGCCTCGGCGCGCGGGGCTGCAGGAGGAACCCCGGCGTGACCCGGTGCGAGGGGGCGGGGCTGCGGCCCGGCCAGGGCTGCTGTGGACTCTGCTGGGGGGAGCGCCCGCCCGGGGAGGCGGGGACTGCTTTGTGGGTGTAGAGCCTCACCCTGGAGGGGAGAGCAAGGGAAAGTGTTGGGGTGCTGCAGGCAGTTTCTGGGCTGCAGGTTGCTGGATTCGACAGCAGGCTCATCAGTCCCCTGGGCTGTGTCTGAATCAGGCAAACGACACAGGTTTCCCCAGGGCTCTGAGGGCAGCCACAGCTTGAATCTTGAGATTGGCAGTCCTTTGACTGGGAAATAAAGCGGCAGTTCAAGAGGGTCCAGTTGATGGGGATTATGGAGCCATTGTGCACTTCTCCGGAGGCTGTTTCCCTTCCAAGGCTGCTGGCACATCAACTCCACATATGGCTCCTGAGAGGGGAGCCTGCTGAGAGCCTCCTTTAGGGCTGGACAGAAATCAAAGAGCAGAAATTAACGGCTACAGGTGTTGCCATTGTTTTGATGTAAAATGAGTCAGAGAGGAAGGGGAGAAGTCTCCACTTGGAAAGCGTGTTGTGTTGGTACATTGGTTGTGTACCGACGGGGTACGGGAGCACGGTGGCTCTAAGGTGTAGGGAATATGTGGACAGAAAGACGCCCCCACCCTCCCCTTTCTCTGCGAACACATCTCACCAAGTAGTCACCCGAGTAGCCGGCGAGAAAAGGGCTCTTCAGAATGGTGCCTTGCATCTTCCTCTTTGCCTGTTAGTTGTGTGCTGGGACAAACACATAACATCTTCATTTTATTATTGCTATAATTAAAATATAAAACACACATTGGTCTCCCCAAATGACTTAATGTCTTCGTCTTGACGTACGCATGTAATTTAATATCTGTCCTTATATGTTTTTGTAATCTAATAGTTCAAGTTTGGCAAAATGATCGCCTTTCACTTCTGTGTTGAAAGACTTGAAACTGCCCTCCAAATATTACTTTGCGCCAAGCTTTAGGCACACTTGGTCTCTGGGGCTGATGACAAGACAGCTCGGAGGCCCACAGCAGGTAATAACGGTGGAGGTCCAAGCTCTGCCATCTGACAGCTGTGTCTGTGTGTGGAGCCAAAACATTTCTCTTGATTGCATCTACCTATTGGGTCCTGGAGGACTCGGTTCCCTTCCAAACCCAGCAGGCATCCTGAATGCACTTGCAAGCCATGTCCTGGCTCAATCATGTGTTCCTACTTGTGCTGGGCTAGGGAGGGGCAGGGGAAGGGAAAGTGGCAGGGCTGTTTATCTGTCTTCACTGGAGCTCCCGGGAGAGCTGCCCCTTGGAAATCAAGCAAGGGGTAAACACATGCTGCCAAAGATCTGGAATGGAAAAAATAAATAATAAAAGCCGATCCCTCCACAGCATTTCTTGCTGCTGTTATTTATCAAGAACTCCCAGTGAGCTCAGAGCTGTGTGTTCTGAAAGATGGGGTCTCTAGCCCCTGAGCTTGTCATCCAAGTTAAATAATATACTCTGGTTCAAACAATAGCATGTCATGGCTGCACAGGTGGGAGCTTGGAGTTTTGCATTTATTTTTCATTCAAGTAAATTCCTTGCTGCTAGTATGCATTAAAAAGCCTAAATGGAATTGAATGTTAAGAGGAGTTTGAATGAAAAAAGGTGGTAGTTTTGATGAAAAAGCTGACAATTTTCTAACCTATTAAATAGGCAGAGAAGATACTTAATTCAACAGATATTTGTTTGATGCCTGCTCTGTGCTGGGCGCCACCGATTTTGCCACTGAAGGGACAATAGCAGGTTGCAACCTGTTTAATGGGGTCATGGGATCAGTGTGCCCCTGGTTGTCACTCCGAAGAATGATGTCATTTGATTGCATTTGCTTTGCATTTTATTTTCAGCGCCTGAATGTGTTTTTGAGACACATGCTGAATTATAGGTGCCTAAAACAGGAGCTGGACTTGAAACACTCTAGAGGGAGCCTCAGTAGGTTCTAGCAGCAGTTCCTCCAAAGCAAACAGTCATTTTGCCAGTAATCCACAGGCAGCCAGGCACAAGCAGCTAGATTGTTCTGCCTTCTTCCTCTCTTCCTAGCTGATGCCTGTATTTTCCATCTTCAGTCAACCACAGGTAGTTGAACATGACTGGGCCATGCTTCCTTCCTCTTGGTTCTCTTCTTATCTCTCATCCGCTGATTCTCCTCACCTTTGGCTTTTCCTGCTAAGAATTAATCCCTGAGATGCTTGTGCAATTAGTGTGTGCTCAGCTCTTTACACAGTGGGCTGTTACTTTTTCTGCCAACTTTGAGTACACTTTCACAACTGTACCAGGTTCACTGCAGCCCCTCAATGTGTGGAAGCGGCCTACTTCCCCAGACTTTCTCTCTACTACTCCTGATGAATGTTTGTGCAACACTTCCTCATGTACATTTCTTTGAGCCTCTCATCAAGTCTGAGATTTATTCTGTGAGGAACATTACATTTTTTACATAAGAAAGCTCCAGATCCGTGAAATGACTTACTCAAGATAACAAAAGAAGTGCCAGAGTCCTCCCATTTATACCCAAGTCTTCCAGTGTCTACTTCTGTATTCCTCCTGCCAGCCTGGTGCTTCTCAAACTTTCCCGTAAGGGTCCCCTAAGGAAAAAGACACCAAATAACCCTACCCCCTCCTAGGGATGTGGTGTTGAGGGAAGGAGTGCAAATTTTGGCCTCTGTTGTAGACTTAATTTTCTTTCATCCTATTTCATAACATATTTGTGCTTAGATTAATATAAATATGAATGTTTTAAATTATGCATATGTTAATGTAACTTCTTCTCTCTCTGAACTTCACTACCTTGGCACCTGAGTGTAACCCGTAGGAAAGTGTTTGTGTTTGAGTTGGTGAAGACAGATTATTCCAGAGTTTTTTGGCTGCCATAGTTGGGTGCCAAGGTAGCTTGTGGTTATTTAAACATGGCAGCCACCTCTCTGTAGACATCGTGAGTGATGTATTTTCTTATAGTTTGGCCCACAGGACTGAGCCTGATGTGATTTAACTGCCATGCAGACAACCACAAAGTGCTCACGTGCTGTTCAACAGACAGCAGCCCAAGGCACATCTAGCGATGTGCATAGAAGAGATCTCCCAGTTCTACTTGGTGATGTGGCCCGTTGACCTCAAAATCCACAGCCTTCCTGTGATGTTGATTCCTCTTCTAGTTTCTGTTATGGTTCTGTCTAGCTATTCACTGTCTGTAGACGTGGTTGGGATTTCTGCCCTCGCACACACATCTGATACACAAGGATAGATGCAGAAAGGACAACTGCAGTGACAGCACCCACTTAGAAAGGGGAAAAGCAATCATGGCTACTATTTACTGAATAGTTATTATGGCTGGGTTTTGTGTAAAGCAATTTACATGCCTTATTTTCTGTCAATTCTCAGTCACCATGTGAGGCAAAGACTGTGGCTATTATGATCATTACAGATGACAAAATTGAGATCTAGAGAGGTTTGTTTAGGTGCCATAGCAAAGGATTTTGAACCTGGCTGGCCTGATTACAGGACCTGTGCTCTTAACCACTGCCATGATCTCTCAGTCACTGCAGACGTTGAGTTCTGGTGTCAATCCGGTCATGCATGGAGCAAGCTAGGAACCTGCATCTCCTGGGGCACCAACACCAGTTTGTGGACATGAGACACAGAACAGAGAATCCTTGTTGTGAACTAATTCCCTACAATTGCATCTGCGCCTCCCTGGAGTTCTGACTCAGGAGGGCTGTATTTCCTCAGCCATCAACTTCTAGTCAGAGTGTGTCCTTTGCATTCAGGCCTATGAATGACCCTGGAGGGTATTCTCTGTTGAAACTCCAGTACATAGAGTAGTACCTGGTGTGTAGTTGGAGCTGAAGAAATATTTGTTGAATATATTAATGAATGATCTTAGAGGGATCATGTTGGAAATAAATGTTTTCTATGCAGCAATAGCTTCTTGAGCCTGGTCACCTTATATTCCTATAACCCCTAACCACTGTCTTTTCCTTAATAGCTGATGTGCCGGGCCCCTTTCTTCCCTAGTCCTACATTGTATGGTGTCCTCTACTCTTCTGGCTCTTCCCATTCTTGAGCAGCCCAACTTCTGGTGTTGCCAATCCGGGAGTTGACTTTGTCCATAAAAATCCAGCATGATTGGAATTTCTGAGGTTAATTTAACACGGCACAATCCTGCCTTTGAAAGCTAAGAAGAATGGTCTCTGTGCTATACAGAGAAATGGATCTTGAAGTATGGCATCAACACTACCTGAAAACTTGCTAGAAATGTAAATTCTTGGGGCCATCAGACTTAATAACTCAGACTGTGGAGGTAAGGGTGAGACTAGTAATCTGTATTTTGACAAGCCCACAAAATAATCTAAATTCATGCTCAGATTTCCTTGTTGCACATTCCAGTAGCATTCTGTGTA